ATTTCCCACCTCCACTTTACCAAGGAAATGGGGGATCCTGCAGGTCCCTGGTCCCACAGAAGGTAAGGATGTGGGTGCCACTGGGGATCCCTTGCTGCACTGCAGCCCAGGTGGGAGAGGTCTACGTACCCCTCTCCTGGGCCCTCTTCCAGCCAGCCCGGCCCCTCTGGCTGCTGAGCGTGGCTCATGTGACAGTGCCGGCTTCTCTCCTCCATGTACCAACACACCCAGGTCTTCCTGTGGCTCCCCCCAGGCTCCCACACGCAAACCGGGGCCCTCGATTGCTGTGCTGGGGTCTGCACTGGAGGAGCCAGCACTGCCCCCCGAGCCATGCTGGCACCGGCCCCTCCTTGCTTGGGTATGTGCTTTGCCCACAGGGAAGACCCGTCTGTACCCACCCTGCCCTGGCACTGACGGGCTGCCCCTCCCGGCAGGTGTCCCTGCAGTGCGAGCTCTCCCAGCGCTACCTGGGCGGGGCCGAGGACAATGTCACCTGCTTTGCCCAGACCGTGAGCGAGGGCGAGAAGTGGAGCCTGCACCTGGCCCAGCACCCCAACGGGCACATGCTGAACCCCGGCAAGCAGCGCTACATGCGCTGCGACCAGCAGACCGGGCACATGCGCTGCGACCGCGATCTGCCCTGGGGGCCTGAGGCCGTCATCACCCTCCACTTTGACCTCAAAGGTGGGCAGCCCCTCCCCGCTTCCTCAGGGGTGCTCTGCCCTGCTGGGGTGGGGGGAACTGAGGGGAGGTACTGGAGAGTAAGGGGGTGGGGGACCAGGGGGGGTGCCATGTGGGAGCAGATCGGAGGGAAGGGGGAAGATGTGAGTAGGGGAGTGGGGTATTGGGCGCTGGGGTGGGTGGGGAAGGATCTGAGGGTGCAAGGAAGGATGTGGGAGGCCAGGGCACTGGGGTGGGATAGGGAATATACGTGTAGATGAGGTGGGGTGCATGCTCGCCCATTGCATGTGTCCCACAGGCCTGCAGCATCACTGGGATTGCCAGTGGCTCGGATCCTGTACAGCTGGGAGGGCTGTTAGGCCAGCAGCACTGGGCCATGGTGCCCCAGTGCCAGGGTGACTCTCTCTCTAATGTTGCCTCCCTGCCCCGTCTCTAGAGAAGAAGTACGGGCTGCGGAGCGGGGCTGGGAGCCTCCTGGCTGCCGACGGCTCACTACAGGCCGAGCTGTCCCCTCAGACGCTCTACTCCCTGGAGCTGCGGGGTGGCCTGCTGGCCCTGCGGGACGCGGATGGCAGGTATCTGACTGGGCGCGAGGGCACCGTCAAGACCTTCAAGACGGACAAGCCGGGGCGCGACGAGCTCTTTGCTCTGGAGCCCAGTGCTGCACAGGTCTCGCTGCGCACCTTCGCCGGGGGCCGCTTTGTCTGCTGCAGGCCAGGTGAGCGGGGCAGGGTGGGGAACCCAGTGCTGCATCCAGATGGCTCCACTTGCCCTGCTGGCTGCTGCTACTCCCACTCCAACTCCCCCCTCCCTCCCCCGCCCTGGGCTGCTCTCCGGACGGGCAGCACGTGCTGCAGCAGGAGCAGACCTGGCAGCCAGGCCCCATGTACTCTGGGGCACTCTGCACATAGAAGGCCTAGTGGTTGCAGCACTGGGCTGGGACTGGATCTGGGTTCATTTCCCAGCTCCCTGTGGGACCTAGCTCAAGTCACTGCATCTCTCTAGGCCTCTGTTCCCTATGTGCAAAATGGAGATAACGTTCCTTCCTTTCTCCCGTTTGTGTAGTGAAACAGTCAGATCTGTAGGGCAGGGACTGTCACTGTGTCTATACAGCCCCTAGCACAACGGTGCCTGATCTTGGTTCATATTAAACTACGGCGTGATCTGAATTCTGCAGCAAAATCCGGTGGTCTCTGACAAAGATACAAGTCGTTTGCAATATTGCACCCAGTGGAATATGGAAATCTGCACTGTGCTGTTTATTTTGTGTAAAGCATTGTATACTGGGCTACCCCCACATGTTGAACATGGCCCATGGGGTTTGGCATTGACAGATAGTCAGTAGGTTTCATGCTTAACAGTCCATAGAGCTGCCGGATCAGCCGGCACTTCCTTTCCTAGCTGTTGTTTCAGGCTGTCTGCCTACAGCCTCAGGCAGGTGTCCCATTGTTAATTACCCTCCATTCATATTTTCAAGGGGGCTCTGCATTATGTGGGCAGCCACAGGGGGTCCCAGTTAGCCCTTGGGATCTCTTCACAGGGCCGTGTCCCCATCTGCTGTGGTGGATGGAAGTTGCCGTGACTGGAGCAAGTCCGGCTGCAGCCAGCAGAGGGCAGCAGTGATCCACATACCAGCCCTTCTGGGCCATGGGGGAGGGTGTTATTGACTCTCCAGGCTGGCACCACACTGCCCGCCTTTTTACCATGTGTCTCTTGCTGCCCACAGGGGCTGACATCTATGCCAATGCCATGTCCGTTGGCAACACGGAGATTTTCCAGCTGCTGCTGAACGATGTCACCAAGCAGGCCTGCTTTCGCAGCTCCTCCGGCACCTATCTCGCTGTGGTGAGTGTGGCCGGAGCCAGGGGATTGGCACAGATCCCCCGATGCGGGGAGATCGACAGAACTACCGGCTTTGGCCTGCAGCATGCTGCCTGCCGCAGTGCAGCTCTGGCGATCCACCAGCAGGGGGCGAACACATCGCTGGGACAGGGATGTAGGCAACTGCCAGCACAGGGCAGGCTGGCCCTGGCTCTCCCCTGCCCTGCTATCCAATCCCAGCTGCTAGAGTGTGCCCCGTTCCAGGAGTGGCCTATTCAGAAGGTGCCAGCAGGTTAGGGGTTAAACCCCCTTGCTCCGGGGCCTGGGTAGGAGAGCTTTGAATCTCAGTCCCTCTGTCCCTCCTCTGCCCAGCCCTGTGCCCAGCTGGTGCCCTCCTTAGCCCTGCCCCAAAGCCATGTTCGCCCCTCTCTTAGGGAGGTGTTAGGTTGTGGCAGGGGAACATGGCTCCAAGGACAGGGCCTGTGGCCAGACCCCAACTGGGAACGGGAGCAGCTCCTGGTCCCCCCCAAAGGGGGAACGTGAGGGCTGAGCACCCGTTCCCGCCCCCTAATGCTGCCTCCTTGCAGGGCCCCAAGGACTCTGTGGTGAGCACCAGCACCCAGGACAAGGGGGTCTGGTTCTCACTCCAGTACCGGGAGCAGAGGGTGACCCTGCGAATGGCTGACGGCAGACACATGGCCACCAGGCCCAATGGGCAGCTGCTGCTGGTGCCCGAGGCGGCAGGTAGGGGTGGGACGCAGCCGATACCCCTAATTGGGGAGGGGGGTTGGCAATGCGATAGAGGCCCTTCACCTCAGTGCCCCACGCTTCCCATCCAGCCCCGGGGCGGCACTGATAAATCCCTCCGGTGCAGTGGCTGTTGTGGGGCTCACGTGACGTCTCTGCCCAGATCACTGGCACTAACTGCCCCCCTTGGTTGCAGCCAGGGTCCGCCCTGGCCTTGGAATGAGGCCCTGGGGTAGGGGCCAGGACTGCCCTGCAAGGAGAGCGTCCGTTTCCAGGGCTTGCTCTTCAGCAGCGATGGTGATTTTGGGCACACAGCAGCTTTGGCCTCTCTGCTCGATCCCTGCCCTGGAGAGGTGGGGCAGAGGGGGTCCAGGGCCCTGCTCTAGAGCGTCACCCCCATTCCCCCCATCCCCAGGGGAGTGGGCCCTGGCCTGCCCCATATACCGAAGGGATGGTTCTCAGCAGCAGCCCCTCCTGACCTGACTTGACAGAGCTTTGGCCCTGTCTGCCACCACACAGCGCCTCCGCAGGGCCAGCTGGTAGCCTCCATCCTGTGCCCCGTGTGGGGCCAGCTGGAGCTAACGCTGCCTGCTGGGATCTGTGCCCTCAGGCAAGGGGGAGGAGTTCCTGCTGCTGCTGGTGAACCGGCCCCTGCTGATCCTGCAGAGCGAGGTGGGCTTCGTGGGGCTGTTCCCCGGGACGCAGCGCCTAGACGGAAACCGGCCAGCCTACGATGCCAGTGCCCTGACACTCGGCGAGGACGGCTTCTGCCACTTCAGAGTCGGTGCGGCACGGGGTTCCTGCCAGGGTCTGGGACATGGAGACTCCAGGGGGCTGGGGAGTACCAGGCATGGGGAGGGGGCCGAGGATCTGTGCCAGGGGCTGGAGTGTGGGGGTGCAGGGTGATGAGGGTGTGCCAGGCACTGGGGTATCCCTGGGGATTGGGGTGCTAGGGGAACCGACTGGAAGGGGGGGGGGGGGCCCTTGGCCATGTCTTAGGAAGGGGGGTTGCCCAGGGTTCCTCTGCCCAGGCTGGAAATGCCCTCTTCCATCACTGGGGGGACAGTCAATGAACTGCTGAAGGCCCCCAGCTCCTCCCCTTCCCATCTGGTGCAGTAGCCAGCACTTCAGAGGCAAGGGGCCCCCTGCCCCTCCCATAATCCTCCTAGGAGCAGAGTCCATGCTGGCCCCACCTAGTGTCCGCTCTGCAGCAAGACTCTGGTGTGCATCTCCTGGAGTGCTTCCACCCATAACATCCTGCAGCAGCGCCTCCCCTAGGTTACAAGTGTGCCCTTTCACTCTGGTCGCCCCCTCCGCCATGATCCATGTCACCCGGCCCTAACTGCTCCCTTTGGCCCACAGCCAACAAGTACTGGAGCCTGGACCAGGACGGGCTGGTCATGGCGAGTGGAGACCACCCCAGCAACTTCACCCTCCAGTTCGTCCCCCCGGCGCTCTGGCCGCCTCCCCCCTCCCCGCGGGGGGGGGGGGGGCGGGGGGCGGCAGGAGGCTTTTTTGCCTGGGGCGGCAAAAAAGCCATAGCCGGCCCTGGATGGGGCTTCTCCCAGCCAGAGCAGTGCTCTGTAGCGCAGGGAACATTCATGTGCCCTGAAGTGGGAGCAGGCTGCCCCCTAGTGGCCCAGGGGGAGGTGCCTCCTTGCTGTCTCCTGGGGGAAGCCCTACTCTAATGAAAAGGCTCCAGGCAGCAGCAGTAGCAGAAAAATAAATATTTATTGGAAAATAGTATTGATTTGGAGGATGCGAGAGGAGGGGGAAAAGTGCCACGAGTCACTGCTACAGCTAATAACACTGAATCTGGGGGAGCGGGTGGAAGCACCTCCCAATCAGTCACACATGCGATAGACAGGAGCTTATTAATACTTACAAGGGGGGCCCTGGGTGTCTGCCCCTCCGCCCCTGTGCTGAAATGGGAGGATACAGAAGGTGCAGGCATGATCCATGGGGGTGCGGTCTGGGCCAGGGGCCACCTGGCCTTGTGTGCATGGGCTCGGACAAACTCTAAGCCCTGGCTGTAGGGGCCGGAATGGGATCCATGTCAGCTCCCAGCAGCCTCTCCCCCCCCACCCCCACTGCCCGGCAGGCAGGGGAGGGCAGTGCCTGCAGCGGGTGAGTGATGCCTGGGCACACGGAATGGCTGCTTCATGAGGCGCCAGGTCTGGGATGCGAGTTAAAGTCTCTCTCCAAGTCGCTGGGCACGCCAGCGGTGGCTTCCTGCCCAGGAGGGGCTGATGTGGAATGAGGCTGTGGCTGGGTCTAGCTCTGCTCCGAGGGGCTGAGACGCCGCCATCAGACCAGCCGTGGAGGGAGGGAATGTGTGGCCTCAGTCCCAGGCGCTGGGGCAACGCGTCACCTTGTCTGGCCTGGAACAGCCTGGATGGAGCCTTAGTATGAGTCCACCCTAGAGGGAAATAAACAGGAGAGAGCCTGGCCGTCAATTGCAGACCCTCAGCAGCCTCTCCAACCCCACCCTGCACACGGCTCTGGCTGGGGGGGGGGGGAAGCTTCCCTCACATCCCTGGGCAACCCTGTCACCCCAACTGCTTCCCCACCCCCCCCGGGAATCTGTCCTCGTAGCAGCCAATCAGAGGAGAGGAGTGCAGATGAGGAAACCGAGGCAGGGGCAGTCAGGAATGGCACCCAGGAGTCCTGATCCCCAGGCGTGTGCATGAGCCACTTGCCCAGCCATTCCGTTTGTATCATCAGCGTTTTCTCTCCACACTTTCCCTCCCTCATCTTGTCTCCACCACAGCCTCCCTCCTTGCTCATGACCTAGTTATTCCCACATTTCCACTAGCCCATGAATGGTCCAGTCTTCCCCAGCCCCAGTGCTTTTTCACCCCTTGGATCCTGTCTCCCTCCTGGCCAGTTTGTCCACCCCAGCTCCTCCCATGTTACCCTTCCAGACCCTGCCCACACCTGCTCAGTTTCCCACTGCCTCCCAGTGGTGCTGCTGCTCAGGGCAGGAGGGGGTGGGGTACCTGGAGAAGGAGACCAGGGTGAGGATGCCTAGGAGCAGCTCGACGGCGTAGAAGAGCAGCAGGATGGCATTGAGGATGGCCTCCAGCCGGAGGGCGTAGGTCTGCAGGAGCAGGTAATAGGCCGCCATCACTGCCGCCGGGAATGTCAAGGCCAGGCTGATGGAGAGCGGCACCTTCCGCTGGCACAGGTTCCCCTTGGAGCCTGCCACGTGGCACAGTTAGTAAGGCAACCGCTCCCTGCCCTGCAGCCATCCACGCATGCAGCTTCCTGGAGGGGCACAACTGGGGGGACAGACTGCTGGGGGATTGGGATATAGAGCCTATCCCCTCTAGGACACAGGCTCCAATCCAGCCCAAGGGCAGGGAATGGGACATGGAGCCTTTCCTCTCTAGGCCTCTGGCCCCTGGTCCAGAAACCTGGCTGGCTCAGGCAAAGAGCTCTTCAGCTCTAGGCACTGATCCATCCCCAAGCTGAGTGAGCAAAAGCCAATCATGTGCTGGCTGCTTGGCGGCCCAGTGAAATCAGGCACCAGTCCAGCCGTCTCAGAGCTGTTTGCCCCCAGGGGGCTGCTCGCCCTGTTGTTCCAGAGCTGGCTGTTAATCTTAGGCACTCACCAAAAAATATCCGAGTGACTTCAATGCCGAGGTAGAGGAAGAGCATGACCAGATCCAGGGCCAGGTTGGCAGAGGGGTATGGTAACAGCAGCCCTGTGGACACAAGTCACCTGTTTCAGGAGGAGCGCAAGGCCTCCAAACCCTCTTTCTGGGGTGCCACTGTCCCTCACCGGGACAGGTCCCTAAGGAAGGGGAGATGGCCGTGAATAGCTAGTGGTTCTCAGCCCGAAGGCCTTCCTCCAGGGACAGCAAGTCTGGGGGAGAGCCCCAGAGAGGTGCCAGCAGGACCACAGAAATGCAGTGCAGAGAGTGGCTCATATAATGGGTCCCAGCCCTTGCCCAGCATCAGAGCCAAAGGCTTCCTTTTACTCCTCCCTCCCACCAGATGCAGCCCTGCAACGGGCTGGGAGTGGCTGAAACGCATGGATGGGCTGGGAGGCCTGAGGGGCTTGGGTGGAATAAGTCAGCTGGCACTCCACTGGGCTTGTCCTGCCTGCCTTGCCCTCAGTCAAGTGGCGCTTGATACCACAGCACAGAGGGCAGCCCTGCTGCCAAAGGCTGTTCCGTAGTAGTCCCTGGTGATCTGGAATGGAGGCTGGAATGGCAGCGGAGGGAACTCACCTTTATAGACGAATATGAAGATCTCCAGGAGGAAGTAAGTGGCATAATACCATCCATTGAGGAAGAGCAGGATTTCCAGCGGTGTAGAGGAGAGCTGGCGGCCTGGGGGATGGGCAGATGAATAGCATGAATGGGCGAGGTGCTGCTCCCCATGCAGGCCTGCCGGCCTCATTCTTCCCTCCAAAGAGGGCAGAGGAAGCCAAAAGGGCCTGAGCTGCATTAACCCCTAACTCCCCATGGGAGCCCCGCCCTCGTAGGATGAGGGATTGTCTGGCTCTCTGAGATAGGCTGAACACAAGGGACTGACTGAGAGGATAGGTGGTCAAGGTACTGGCCTGGATCCTTTCCCAGCTCTGCAACAGGCTCCTTGCATGACCCTGGGCGAGCCACTGAGCACAGACTTACAAAGAGATGTAGGCACCTAAAAATGTAGACAGGTGCTCACCTGCCTCTTTAGGCACCTCAAAATCTGACCCTGAGTCTCTCTGGGCCTCAGTTTCCCATCTGTAAAATGGGGATAAGAATCCTTCCTTTCATAGAATATCAGGGTTGGAAGGGACTTCAGGAGGTCATCTAGTCCAACCCCCTGCTCAAGCAGGACCAATTCCCAACTAAATCATCCCAGCCAGGGCTTTGTCAAGCCTGACCTTAAAAACCTCTAAGGAAGGAGATTCCACCGCCTCTCTAGGTAACCCATTCCAGTGCTTTCTCCCAGCTTTTATCTATTTTGTTTCACTGGGGCAGGGGCTGGTTCTCGCAATGCATTAGTGCAGCAGAATGGAGCCCTGATCTCAGCTGGGGCTGCTGGGTGCTATCGTGATTTCACAGCATCTAAGGCCAGAAGGGATCACTGAGTCTGACCTCCTGTATAGCACAGGTTGCCAAGTTACCCCAGAGGCCAGACGAGCTGCCACTCGGGGCTGACCTCACATCTGGCATGAGTCCAGTAACTTGTGTTTGACTAAAGCATCTTCCAGAGAGGTGATGTGACTCCCCCACTTCCCTGGGTCATTTTTTCCCGTGGTCTGTCCCCTCACTGTTGGGAATGTCGGCCTATTGTCTAATTTGAATTTGTCCAGCTTCAGCTTCAGCTTCCAGCCGTTGTTTCGTGGTTGGCTCTTCTCCGCTAGAAGCAGGCAGTGTGGTTCTCTAAGCCTCTCCACTTTCTGTCTGCAGACAGAAGCTTTCCCCACTACATTTTGGTTTTTCTCCCTCTGCTTGGTGCCACCCTTGGCAGGAAGAGGATTTTTGAGAACAGGAAACTTGTATTTAAAGAGAAAACATGGCAGGGCAGCAGGCCCAACTAAGATCAAAGAGCTCCTACACATGACCAGCCACACAGTAGTGTGCCACCTGCCCCACTTTACAGCAGGGTATCAGGCAGCAAGGAGTGAAACTCAGCAGCAGGAGCTGGCTTCGCACTCTTCAAGCCGGCTGTTTCTATCTGGTTGGTGCTTCAGGCCAAGGTGAAGCATTGACTCCACCAGCAGTGATGTGGCAGACAAGCTTTCAGCTGTGTGCGGGCTGGTCATTTAGCAGTAGAACATGTTGTTTTGGAAGTAACAAGCCAGAGACCCATAGCTCTTGTCTTCTGTTCTGACTGGGGTGAAATAAAGTTCCCAGGAATATGTCTGTAAATGGTGGATTCTCTGTGACCTTAAGTCTTTAAACCATGATTTGAGGACTTCAAGAGGTTAGGGGTCTATTTCAGGAGTGGGTGGGTGAGGTTCTGTGGCCTGCAATGTGCAGGGGGTCAGACTAGATTGGGGTGGGCAAACTACGGTCCGGAGGCCGCATGCGGCTCTTCAGATATTTTAATCCAGGGGGCAGGGTGTGGCTCCCGGAACCAGCGGCATGTCCCCTCTCTCGCTCCTACACGTAGGGGCAGTCAGGGGGCTCCGCACGCTGCCCCCACCTCAAGCGCCGTCCCCGCAGCTCTCATTGGAACCATGGCCAATGGGAGCTGCAGGGGCGGCGCCTGCAGACAGGGCAGTGCGCCAAGCCACCTGGCTGCACCTCCACATAGGAGCCAGAGGTGGGACATGTCGCTGCTTCTGGGAGCTGCTTGACGTAAGCACCGCCTGGAGCCTGCACCCCTGGCCCCCTCCCACGCCCCAACCACCTGCCTCAGCCCTGATCCCCCTCCTGCCCTCCGAACCCCCTGCCCCAGCCCGGAGCCACCCTCCCGCACCCTGAACTCCTCATGTCTGGCTCCACCCCAGAGCTCGCAACCCCAGCCAGAGCCCTCACCCCCTCCCACACCCCAACACCCAATTTTGTGAGCATTCATGGCCCTCTATACAATTTCCATTACCAGATGTAGCCCTCGGGCCAAAAAGTTTGCCCACCCCGGACTAGATGATCATGATGGTCCCTTCTGATCTTAAAGTCTATGAGATGACAGAACCCTGTAGTATGCGCTGTTTTCAAGGTATCGATAGATCGTAATCAGGTTAGTGATGAGAATGGATCTCACTGCCAGAGCTAACGCTGCCCGACCCTGACCGTTTCCATTCCAGCCCCTGCTGGCTGTAGCTCTGCGCTTTGCAGGGAAGTTTCCAGGCCTGGGCTCTGAGAGCGAGCTGCTTTTCAGCACCCTTTGAGCCAGCTGGGGTCAATGGATCTGTGTGTGTGTGTGGGGTGGCTCCGTGCTTTCCTGAAATATAAAATCTGCTCGTTTTGTTTTTAAACCAGCTCCCGAAGGCGCAGGAGGTGGCGATTGGGCAGGGACACCCTCTCCATCAGCACCTGGGGAGAAAGGCTTGGAAGGAATCAGGGGGAAACAGGGCTGGGGGGGGCATAGCTCCGTCCATGGGGTGGGGGAAAGGGAGGTAGGTGGCCCCCTGGGATGGATTGGGGGAAGGGATGTGCCCCTCCCCCCCGTGGAGGGGAAGGTCAAGGGCCCTTCCCGCGAGGACGGGGTCACGTGGCAGCCCCAGGGTGGTCAGGGAAGTGGGGGGTCACGTGGCATCCCATGTAGAAGGTGGGGCAGGGGGACGTGCGCCCCGAAGGTGTGAATGGGGAGGTCACGTGTCTTTCCCGCAAGGATTAGGAGTCACGTGGCACAGCCCCCCGGCATGCCCCCCCGGGATGCTGCCGCCCCGCACTCAGTGAAGGCTCCTGGGGGGGAGGGGGTGTCCCATGCACCGGGCGGGGGGGAGGAGGGAATCCGGGACCCCCTCCCCCAGCCCCGCACTTACTTCTGGGCGCCATCTTCCATCTCCATGGAAACTGTCACCCAGAGACATCGCTTCCGGCAACGCGGACCAGGGAAGCGGAAGTGCGGGACCAGAGCGGCTCGCGCCGCTCCAACCGGCTCAGCCCCGCGGCTCGATGGTGCTGGAGGACCCGCCGGGCTTTGTGCAGCGGGGGCTGCGTTGGGTGGTGGCGGTGGCAGAGGCAGGGCATCCGGGGTTGGGGCTCTGCGTAAAGCAACCGCTCCCGGAGTCCCGGCATCTCCGCGCTGTCCCGGGGGGTCCCTCCAGCCAGCCCAGGGACCCCCCGGGAGCCTACAGGCTCAGACACCCTCGTCCCCGCCCTTGATTATTGGTTTAACATCTCCTGAGTTCGAAGCCCGTCTCCTGCCTGCGTGGCTCGTTGCCTTTGCCCACCCGCAGCTGGGGACATTGCGATGCTCCCCCGGCCTCTTGCCTCCAGGAGCTTTATGACAAGGCTTGTCATCCCATCACAAGAGTTGGCAACGCAGCTATTGGCTCCTCCTCCTATCCAGGGGCTCATGGCTAATATTGAGTGCCTCACAGTCCGCTATGGATCCTGATCTCCCTCTCTAACAGCAAGGCTGGTCACTCTGCAGTACCCCTGGCACTGCTTCCCAATGAGACCCTGCTCCCTCCTTCAGCACCCCAACCCACAGACAGCACAGGTCATTTGGAGATATCCCTCCCCCAGCATTGGTGTAATGCTCACCAGTGACCCCCCATTCCCTTCCCCTAAGCAACATAGTTGGGTCACTGTCCCACCTCTTCCCCCCAGCCTGTCTGGAAAAAGGAAATACCATGGTTCTGAATTACAGAATTTATTTCTGAATAACTAACTCCTGAGCTGTACTCCCTCTGCTCTGATCACCACAAGACACCACCCAGGCCCCTTCCTCTGGAGCAGGCAGCTTGGAAATAAACCAATGCTGAAAACACAGCTCACTGGCAAGCTGAAGGGTTTCTCCATCCAGCTGAGATCATTAGGCTAGCAAGTGCTTTATCTTCTCTCCCCTCCAAGATTGGAATGTCATGGGAAACAAGGGCTGTGTTATGTGGGTCTACATGTAACTCTGCCTGCCCTATGTTACGGCACCATTCCCGATACACACCTCTGCCCTGGCCTTTACCAAGGCTCTGCACCTTGCTCAGCCCTCCAACAAGCTGATGGAGGAATTCAGCGGTTGCCCATTCAGTAATGCCTACTGTGCGGTAGGAACGCAGACCCTACTGCTACCACCGCCAGTCAAGGTGACCAGTATTGTCTTATTGTCTCCTGCCTACTGCTTATATTGTCAGCTCTTTAGGGTGGCAGCCATCTTTGTTCTGTGTTTCTGCAGTGGCTAGCTCAACAGGGCCCTGATCCATGACTGGGGAATGACTAAACATCACAGGCAGCTCAGCAGCTGCATGGAGAGTGTGTCCTGGCCATTGGACTCCTGTCCCCAGTAGGGGAATTAGCTGCAATGTGGGCTAGAACAGAACAGTGTTTTTTGGGGGGGAGGGGGACACATACCCCTAGGATAGAACAGGGCCTGGGGTACGGAGGGTGCACCCAAAACATGCACACACAATGAGGTTTCTGGAAAATGAAGCCAATTTATTGTCTCATAATTTACAAAAATACACAGGTACAAAAGGAGGGTCTACCACCAGGACAGGCCTAACGCTGCGCGGCTAGGACAGGCTGCATCCTGGCACCTCATCCCACCAGATATGCAAAGCGGAGGCCGAATGGAGCAGATACCAACAGAACCCCATTGGTCAGGCGGCGAGTGAGCTGTGCGTAGGGCTGGTGGAAGGATTGTTCTGGATGAAGAGAAGCCATGCTGCAGTTACAGGACAGGAGTCCTCAGCCAAACCTGCTTGGCACTTCAGATCACTCCTCAGGGAGGCTGCAGCTGGGTCTAGAGAGAAAGGGGCAGGAACAGCTCGCTGATCTGCAAGAGGGGAGTGGAATGAGGATGAGGGAGAGCCTGGGGATGAGGGAGAGCCTGAGCGGACAACCAGCAAAGCAGCAGGTGCGAGGATGACACGTCTCTTGATGGGACCTCTCCAGCCTGTTTAGTTCATGAGATGGAGTGCGAGACCAGGCTTGAGAGACACTGGCTTCTCAGACAGCTGATAGAGAGTGCAGGTGGAATGGGGGGCTCCATGCCAGCCAGCTGGGAGCAGCCATGGACCGGCCACGGCTCTGGGTCCTGGAGGAAGCCATCAGCTGCGGACCTGAGCAAACTCCTTGCGCAGCCATAGGGAGTCCTGGTAGAAGCGGGGGTCCCCCAGGTGCAAGGCCGTCCTCTTGTAGAAGTAGCAGTACAGCACGGCCGCTGGGGACAGCGAGAGGAAGGTGAGACAACACAGCCGGCTGGGGAATGTCCTCTCCCCCACCCCATCCTCCACCTGCTGGATCACCCCAGTGTGCCCTGGGGACCTTCAGGACAGGCAGAGCCTCACTGAGATCCAGCACCAATGGGAAGGGGTTGGTATGGCTCATGGGAACATAGAACTGCCATTCCCTAACAAACCCACCCCAAGCCCAGCCTAGGGAGACTGCAGGGAAGGCAGATGGGGCCAGCCCTCTGGTAGCTCTGCTCTGGGGCTGTGGTCTGTGTGTGCGTGTTGGGGTACATGATGGAGCTTGGCCCTTACCCAGCCTCTGGAACACAAAGAGGGCCTGCAGCCCGTCCGTCCATACAAAGCGGGTGGAGTTTTTCCAGCGCAGGTTCTGAAGGAGAGAGAGGCACAAGGGAAATCAGGGACAGGAAACGGCCACGTGAGCACCTGCCCAGCCCACCACAGAGCTCAGCACGCTGGGTCCTTTTACTCACTTCCTTGCTCCTCTCTTCTCCGGGCTGCTCCATTCAGTCACCTCCCCATGTCACTTACTCCAGATCCCCAGTGGGAAGCAGCTCCCTATCTCCCCAGTGTTAGAGGACTCCCGCTAGTGGCTGAGCCCCTCAGCAGGGGGAGAAATGCATCATCACTGTACTGATCCACTTTCCAAAGAAACCCTTTCCCAACAAGAACACCCCCCTCTCTGAGCCCGTCCCTGGGGCCCAGCCGTCTAGAGGCCTCCCTCCTCCTCCTTACGAGCGGGGGTGTGAGTGGCAGGGAGCAGCTCAGGGTGCACTCAAAGGTTAATCAGATCAGCGGATTTATACAGAACACCAAGACCCAGTCGAGCTTCCCAACACAGATCCTAGAAAATCCTCTTAAATCCCGCTGCCCAGCTACTCACTAACTCGGGGGCTTTGGGCAAGTCACCTAGGCCCAGTTCCTCAGAAGTATATAGGTGCCTAACTCCCACTGATTTCAATGGGAGTTAGGCACCTAAATACCCTTGAGGATTTGACTCTGAGCCCCTCTCTGTGCCTCAGTGTCACCCTCTGTGCAGTGGCGGGGGGGGGAGGGAGGGAGGGGAGATGATGCTGGTGGCTCCCTGTTTCATTGGGGGGGGGGGGGTGGTGTCGCTGGACGGCAGGTGTTCTGAAATCCCTGGCTGCGGGGTGCTGAAGCAGGGCAGAGGGGGACCACGGCATTCATGGCAGCAAAGGCAGCTGGTATCTGGCTGGCACTGCCTCACCATGATGCTCTGTTCCAGCGGGTTACAAGCGTCAGTGGTTCTTATTACTGATGTTCTGCAGCACCAAACGGTCGAATCCAACACAAGAGGCTGGTTTATTATCCTGTGGCTTTGGGCCAGGTACTACTAGACTCAGCCAGCCGGTCACCCCAGTGCTCACCCCGGCGTCTCAGAGCCAAGCAGCAGCCCCAGCAGAGAAATGGGATTTGTGGAGCTAGCCCTTTAAGAGACTGGCACTGTTGCAGCAGGTAGCAGAGACAGACTCCGAGTTGCGGGTGAGATCAAAGGGGGGAGGGCGCAGTGCCTAAGAGACAGGGCAGGAAAGAGTTAATGGGAGTGGCGAGGAGGGGATGGTGGGTGTCTTGAGGATGGGGAGAGAGCAACCCTCCCTACCCTTCTCCTGAGAGGAGGGCAGGGCACAAGCAGAGCTGCCAGCAGCTGTGCTTGCTCCAACCCAAACTGGGACAGACACTCGCAGCCTGTGGCTGCTGCAACCAGCTGCGCCCCTGAGCGCTGGTTCCTGGCGGGGATTTATCCCATGCAGTGCCCTGCGCGGACATTGGCACTGCTCACCCAAGGATTAGCCTTGTTGGTGGGGAAGCCATTCCAGCAAGACTCTAAAGCAGGCTTGGGAGCTTTCCAGGGCAAGTACCGACCAAGCCAGGCATCCGTGTAAACCCTACTCCCTAGAGCTCCCACACAGGATCCAACCCAGGATGCAATTGTTCATCTGTTAGATCCTGATCAGAACCGGCAAGACCAGGAGCTGCTGCTCAGGGGGGAGTTGAAAAGGGAAGGAGGGGGATTTCAAAGGGAAAGGCTCTTGCTGTACCGCCCTCTCATGGGTACCACAGTTGAGGACACGGGTCAGTTTCCACCCTAGCTCCAACAGTCCCCTGCCAGGAGGGTGTTCTCTGAGGCCTGGCTTCTGCTGAGCAGTGATTTGGGTTTTTAGATGGAGCAAAATCCCTTTGGGAGGAAGTGATGGGATATCAACAGACTGGCCAATGGCCCGAGCTGTGCCAGGAGGGGGTGGGCTACCACACTAGATGGATCGGTGCAGCCACTCCACCCCTTTAGGAGTGAACACCTCTGATTTCCCCACTGTGAGCATTCTGATCACTCCTGGGACAGCTCCTGAGGGCAGAACCAATGCCTCCGCCATCCTCTGGCCCCAGCCGCCAAGGGAGGAGTTGGATTCAAATGTATTTTGAATCCCAAACTATCCCCCCTCCAAATAAACTCTCACTGTGGAGTTGCCTCCCCCAGCCACGTTTCCCACCATGGCATCAAGAGAGCACAAGGCCCAGGACACCAGCACCTGCCGATGGCCATGCAACAGGCTGCTGTGTGAGGTCCCGCTCCTGCTCTCGGCAGTGGGGACTCCGCTTGAAGTGGCCGGGAGGGCTGCTCGCAGACCCGAGTCAGATCAGGTCCCCAAAGAGCCATAACTGACTATGCTGCCTAGTGGGAGGAGCAGCTCTCCCCAAATCTGGCAGATGGGGCGTGCTTCTGCCCGGCTCCATGGCCAATCTCCAAGAAGAGAGGGGGAGGCTGGGGAGGCACATGTGCCCCCAAAGAAAGGATCTGAGTTGGGGAGGAACAATGCTCCCTGTCACAAGCTGGGAGGAAGGTGCTGGGGAAGGGCTGCACGGAGCCCAGCTGAGCTCCCTCCAAGGGAGAGGAGAGGAAGTGGGGCTGGTATCCCTCCCCCGCTTCTACTCCAGGCCCAATCCCCCTGCTTGAAGCATGGGGTGAATCCCCCAATCAGCGAGGGCCCAGGTGCAAGGGTGCTTAGCGGCAGCTCCTGGTACCTGACTCCTCTCCTTAGAGTGCCCCACACTCTCCAGAGATGCGCTGCTGCCTCCTTGGGAGACGGAAACGTTCCACAGAGCAGCAATCCTCCCTCTCTGGAGCTGCAAGGGGAGAGGGGCCCGGAGTGAAGCTCTGACCTCTCCAGGCTCAGGGGTCAGCCCTCCTCCCTCAGGATAAGCTGCTCTCCAGCAGGAGGCCAAGACAACACACTGCTTACAGAGTGTGGCAGGACTGGCTTGGTGCACGATGGGGAATTTTGGCCCTCTCTAAACCTTCATGCCAGAAGGGGGCTAGCAGAGCAGATGGACCAGTGTCCAGCTGGGGCAGGACATCAGACCAGTGGGTGGTTCTGGGACTACAGGAAGTGGGTATCATATCAGATGCACCAGGCTCCCAGCTGCTCCGGAAGAGGGTGAGCTACCCATCTAGACAGATGTGTACAGCTGTTCCTACGCCCCCTGAGAACAAGCCCTGCCTTACCATGACCCAGATGTGGAAGGCGATGCTCAGAACCAGGTAAGCCGCCGACAGGACAATGGTCCCTTTAAACTTGTGGAAGAGGAGGTTGACCAGGCCGGCCTGGAAGACGAAGGTGTTGAAAAACATGAGGAAGATGATGATGGTGTTGAAGAGGATGGCGATATCCTGGATGCTGCAGGGAGACAGATGCCATGAGCACACTTCCAGAGACCACAGCCCTCCCTGGGGCCATGTGCTGGACACAGTGGCCAACACAAGCATTGCCCTCTGTCCTAGGGGGTGTCCCAGCTGCCCTGGCCTACACAGCAAAACACAAAGCCTGTGCTGGAACACCACCGTGCACCAGGCCCCTGGAAGGAGAGGCAGCCAGCTCTGGGTGGTTCCTCCGGCCCAGGCAGCCCCTCCTAGTGCAGTAATTCCCTGCTTTGATAATTGATCTGGGCAGACACAGATGTTCCTCCCCAGATCTTTATGTAACTGACACTTGGCTTAGTGCCAAGAACACGGGCTGGCTCTGGGAATGGAGCCACTGTCCACAGACCAGGCTCTCCCTGCAGCTACGCCCCCCACCTCCATGGCAGCTAGTAACTGATGCTTCAGAGGAAAGCAGTCAGGTACTGCTTCACACTGTGGGGGAAGGAGGAAAAAACCTTCCCCAAGTCCTCCCCCTCCACTCCATTGCCTCAGTGTGTCCTCTCGTCCCCATTTTCTTGGCTACAGTGGCAGTGAGCTGGAAGAGAACCCAGGGCTCCTGACTCTGCCCCCTGCTCTAACCACTAGCCTGCACTCTCTCCCACAACTGAGAAGTGAACCCAGCTCTCCCAATTCCAACCGCTAGCCCCTGCCGCCTCACATGAAGAGCACAAGCTGGATGACGGGGGCCGTGCGGAGCAGCTCCGAGAAGGAGTTGACAAAGAGGTCATAGACGATCAGCAGGAACTGCAGGGAGAGCACCAGGCTGTAGTTACTAGTCCGGAGCATCTTCCTTTCCCAGGGCCCTCAGCGTGTGCATTCCAGAGAACAGAGCCAGCTCATCCTCAGGGCCAGAGGGGCTTCGGCTCCCCTCCTGCACCACAGCCTCTCCCTGCTCCCTACAGCTGAGCTCTGGAGTCTGGAAGAGAAGGTCAAAAGGGGTTTATCTCCAGCAGGGCCTGTGGCAAATGCCTACCTGACCTAGGGGTGAAGCTGCAGTTCAACCAAGAGCCCAGCTTGGCCAGGGGTTCTCCCCAAACTGCTTCACATGCTCCCAGACAGTACCTGGGCCCAAATCCATGGGACCTTCTCAGTTTCAGCTACCCAGCAGCCAAGCTCCAGGCTAGAGAGCAAGATGTTTACAAGAGAACACCCTTAAGGGTCATAGCAGTAACCCTGGACTCCCTTCACCCAGAACACAGGTGCTCTCCTACCTAGGGGCTGCAGGCATACCAGGGAGAGGATCTCAGGGGCTCCATACAGAGCCATGCCCTAACCCAGGGTGCTCTCTACCCTGTGGGTCATAGTCAGAGGGCTCTCGTTCTGCCTGACCCAGGTTACTTTAGGGTTATGGCAGGCCACAGACCGGCAGAGAATGCGTTTGGAGAAAGGTGGGGGGGACATGACCCTGGAGGAAGAATAGAGGAGACAGAATCTTGGGGGGTTACAGACACCCATAAGGGAAGAGGATCATAAATATATTTGGGGTTGGGAGCCAGCGGGGGCACAGCCACAATGGTAGTGGTGTGAAGGGACACGGGGTTGAGCAGAGGACAATGGGGTGATCTTATCTGGGGCAACTCACGCACAGCCTGAGACTGGAGCAGAGGGATCCTTCCTGGAGACTCAGAATCACCCCGGGCAGGGAGGAGGAGACAAGGAATAGGAGCTGAGGCAGGTTGCCACACCAGGGATGAGGTTTTACCCACCTGTGGGGAGGGGATATGGGTCTGTCCATAGAAGAAAAGAGGAAATGCAATTCACAGCCAGCCAGCCAGCCCCCTCCCCCAATTGCTACAACGCGCGCGCGCGTGTACCGTACACCCAGGGCCGGCTCTGGCTTTTTTGCCGCCCCAGGCAAAAAAGCCTCCGGCCAACCCCCCCGCCGCGGGGAGGGGGGAGGCGGCCAGAGCGCCGGGGGGGAGAGCGGAGCCCCGGCCGGGGGGGAGGGCGGCCAGAGCACCGGGGGGAGGGCGGCGAGCCCGGCTGTGGCCCCGTTCTCCCCGGCGGCCGGAGCGCCGCGCTGCCCCCCTCCAGGTGCCGCCCCAAGCACAAGCTTGGTGGGCTGGTGCCTGGAGCCGGCCCTGCGTACACCGCCTGGGGGTGGGGGTAACAAATTGGGTCACCCCCCGTGGGAGGGGCAACAATACTAGGGGATCGCACATAGGTGGGGGCAGGAAGGCCAGGGCGAATCCCTGCCAACATTTACGGGGGTGATTCTGGGACATCGTAATTGACATCCCTCTTAATTCAGCGCCTCCGGGGACTCGGGACCCGGAGACCCAGGAGCTTTCTGATGCCTCCAGACCTAGGGGCCCCCTCGGCCCCCCTCCAATGGTTCCGCCCAGGGAACCCCCCGAGCCCCGGTCCCCACCAGGAACCCCCCGGGCCTTGGTTGCATAACCAGGGCGCAGCGGCCCGATCGCGCCTCCTGCGGTTCCCCCGGGCGCAACTGCCTTCCCCCAGCCGGGCCGGGCCGGACCTCGCACATACCTCGGGCCGCCATCTTCCATCCCCATGGAGACCGCACAGCCATTGGCGACCGGTCCGGCCGGCGGAACCGGAAGCGCTCAGATAGAACCCAGGGGCACCTCCGGATGCCTTGGATCATAGAGTGGGGCAGAGTTCTCGTCTCCCCGTCTCTGTGAGCTGCGGAGGCTGCTGGACGGCGAAGACTCCATTTCCCAGAGTGCCGCGGGGGCGGGCGCGACCCGGAGGTGTCTGGCGCGGGGGCGTGGCTGTAAGGGGGAGGCGAGCCGACCGCGCGGCTGCTCATGGTGAGTCGCGGGGGGTCCGCGGACCCTTGGAACTACCGCTCCCAGCGTGCACCGCGGCGGGGCCGGAGGAGAGGTGCGAGCTGGACGCAGGGGAGGGGTCAGAGGACCAGTCCAAGGGGCAATGGGGTGCGCTGCTGTGGGGCAGCAGGTGACCTGGTGACTCCTCCCCCAGTCCAGTGTCATGGCCCAGCAGCACTCCCTTGGCACAGGGCCCCAGTTCCCCAGCCGGGCCTGGCTTTGACCCTTGGGTGGAGGTGCGAGGGGCTGGCCTGGCTGCAGGGAGCCCTGGCTCTAGGGTGACCAGATGTCCTGATTTTGGGGGCTTTTTCTTATATAGGCTCCTATTACCCTCCCACCCTGTCCCGATTTTTCACACTTGCTCTCTTGTTACCCTACCCGGCTCACTGGTGCCCCAAGGCCCACTTTTCATGGTGTGTTGGCCCCAGGCCTGCCCTCAGGGGACTGTGCGGATCCTGGGGACCTGGCATGCTAAAGGGGTTGCTCACAGGGGGCTAGTTACAGGCTGGGGGATAGGCACCCCTGTATCGCCAATGCCTTGCTCTGAATCCTGCCCTGTTAAATGGTGCCAGCTCACCCCTTTGTTGTGAGTCTCATGATTCTTAGTGTTCGCTCGTAAGGCCTCAGCTGCTGGAGATTGCACAAGAATCAGCCCTTTTGAGTTAAGTAAGTTTCTAGCCGTCATGGTTGCAGAGAAAATCTGGAAATTGTGACCCTGCATGCTCTCGGAGACTCATACAGCACGCGGGAAATACAGTGAGCCTCGCATTCATTCACTTCATTTCTTGACCTCTTCCATTTACACAGACCCAGAGGTGCCCATGATTCTTTGCCACTCCTTTGGGTCCATGACTTGGGTTTGTAGGTCTAGGACTCGAAGTTCCAGCCCTTTTGTCAAACTTCTCTTGATTGACTCTGTTGTATCATTGGTCTTCCATGCCATTTCTTGCTGTCCTCTCTCTCCTGTGCTTTCTTTGCTGGTCGTTCTAACGAGCTCTGGTGCTCTCCTGCCTATCTCTCATTGAGAGTCCCAAGTTCAACTTCCCCCTAACTTCTTCCCTGTGTGCTCTGTCTACTCTCTGCTTGCCTGCCATTCTTCTCACTATAGTATTTTCTGCTACCTATATCTTTTGTTTTCTCTTCCATCTCTGTAAGACCCACTGTTTCCAAACTAGAGCAGGCAGGGACAAATGCAGGCAGCATACACTTTTCCTTGTAGCTTGTTAGTTAATTGCCACTCCCACAGTACTCCTGCCACTTTTTTCACTGTGGCCCATGCACATTGGGTGCTTTCCCTCTCCCCACCCTCCAGTGGTACTAAGTGTATTTCCCAAGTACACAAATTCTTCTGATTCAGCATCTCTCCTGAAACTTCTATCAAGAGCCTTGCCTACTTGCACAACTTCAGTTATCTTTATGTTTACCTTCAAACACAGAGGCCCACTCTCATAGGATATTTACTAATTCCTCTTTGCTGTCAACCAAAAGGGCCAGGTCACCAGCATACGTTAGTTTTCTCTGTGTCTCCACAGACTTGGTTCTGCTACTAATTAACTCCATAACTAGGATGAAGAGAAGTGGACTCAGCATACCGCCTTGTCTCAATCTGATTGTCACTTCAAAATTCTGAAATTGCATGTATAGTTTTCACCTTAGCTGTTGACCCTTGATACAGCTCGTTTATCATCTCCACTTCTTGAACACCCCTGCCCATCTATCTCAATACTGCAAACACCAGCTCCCATGGAACCAAGTCATACACTTTCTCCAGATCAATAAATGCTACATAGTAGTTATGCCCTCCACTTATCATTCTTCTAAACTTCTGTCTCATTGAAAATATTGTGTCTATTGACTCCTTCCCTTCCTAAAGCCATGTTGCTTCTCTCCTATATTCTCCTCCACCTTGCACCTCATCCTTGCCTTCAAAATTCTCTCCAGGACTTTGAGGCTGACTTAACAAGGTGATGCTGTGATAGCAGTTCAGATCAAACATTTGCATCACCTTTACCCTTCCAGAGCGGCACAATCAACCCTATTCTCCAGTCATCTGGTATCCTAGCTTGATCCCAGCAAACTCTGAGTAATCTGTGATGCCACTTTACTCCAGTATCTCCAACTACCTTGATCATACCAACAATTATTTCATCTTCTCCAAATGCTTTACCATTCTTCATCCTATTCAGTCTCTTCTATACTTTTGGAGGCTTCCTCAAAATTATCAGCAGTGCTTGCACTTGCAACTCTCTTCTCATTTAACAGCCTTTAGAAATATTTGTTCCATAGCTCCTACAACTTGTTTGGGGCTAGTTACCACCACACAGTACCTATCCTTCACATATGAAGATTTCTTCATTTCTTGTGCTTTAGTGTTCCTCTTTTTTTTTTTTTTTTTTGCCAACCCAAAAACCGATTTCCTGCCATCATCTTCCTGCAGCTAATTCCTCTTTAGCCTCCATTCTTGCCTTAGCAACTGCCTTTGTAGCCTTCTTTGGCCTGTTTGTGTGCATTTTTTGATGGTCTCATTATCATGACCTGCTCTCTCAAGCTCCTTTGAGTCATTCATTTTTTTGTTTCTCTTGCACTTCAGATTTCTCCCACCAGCTTGTTCTCCCCAAATTTATTTATTTATTTATTTATTTTAAAAAGGCCTTATGATTTTTTAAGGTGCAATCATGATTTTTTAGGACTGGACCTGTAACTTTTGGATGCTTGGAGTTGGTGCTATTGTGTGAGACTGGACACGGGACTGGGATTTCTGTCCTTTTGAAATCCTCTCAGCATCTCTGGAGCATCCTCTCCCGAAGGGTTTGGGTTGGAATTGCTCTATTTGGGTGGGGGGCAGCAGGAGTCCTGCTGATCCTCCCTCAGGCTTTGTGGGTTTAGCAGGGGGCTGGGAACCAGCAGCTCCTGGGTATAATAGACAATATGTTTGTACAGCACTTTCCCTCCAGCTCTCTCAAAGTGCTTTATGCATTCCAGCCCTTCCTGGGCAACAGGCAAGCATCACAATCCCCATTTTTCTGGTGAGGAAGATGAGGCTGAGGGGCTACAGAGTGAGTCGGGGCAGAGCCGTTGGTGCAAATGATCACGAGTGCTACAGCTGTGCATGACGCTGATTGGTCCCTGCCGAGAGGTACTTACTGTTTTGTCCGATTGCTTAGCAGTTTTATCTAACCTCTCAATGCACAAACACATTGAGATCCTGACTAGGAAATGGTGCTCTTCACATACATGCTGAAGACCATTATTGCAGAAGCTCCAATCAGAATCCGGTGTCCTATTGTGCTGAGCACTGGATGCAAGTAAGAGGGCGTAAAACTTGTCTTAAAGAGCTTTCAACTCCTAGACTCCTTTCCTGATCTCCGGCATTTTAACTGCTGACCATCCAGCAGGCAGGATTCCTGTGGCTGCAGATATTAAACTCTGTATCACCGCATGGTTAGTCCATGTGTGCTCATCTGCATAAACCACAGTGGATAGGACTGAAGGTCCCTGCATCTGCAGACATGTGAGAGGAATGACACTAGACTGGGATACACAAAGTGAGGCCCAGGGCCTATTGGAGTTTGCAGCCACCCACTCCTAGAGATCATTGGGAGGCTGTAGTGTTCACTGCTGGTAATCTAACCCATGAGCAGCTCTTTTCCTCCCTTGAGGTGGCTGGGTGTATTTTTGGTGGAGGATGCAGATCTCTAAGCAAATGAGATGCCACCCTCCAGTTCCTGAGAACTTGCTGGTGTGCACTTAGTCATAGGGTTGGCGTAACCCTGTGTGGAGAGTCTGTCCCATTGCAGAGAGACGTCTCTCCTGATGGCGTCAGCTCAGCACAAGGCCAGACTGGGAGTGCTGTAGGGAAGTGTTACAAGTTACTTGATTCCACACAGGGCTACCAGGGTGAAATATAATGGCCTACGTGTGACCTTAAGAACCCCTCAGCGCCACTTGACACAGGGTTACAAGAATATCCTGGTGCGTATAGGTGGGCAAGGTAATATCTTTTATTAGCAGAGGTGAAAGTAACACTCAACACTTACCAGTACGGGGGCCGGTGCCTCGGTGGAAGGGGCGGGGCTAGGGTTCAGCGTCCCCCAGTCAGCCCGTCCGTGCTGCCTGGCCCGCACCGCCCAGGGCTCCAGCGGTGATTTAAAGGGCCGGGGCTCCGGTCACTGCTGCTGTGCTAGCGGCCGGAGCCCTGGGTCCTTTTAAATTGCTGGTCCCAGGGCAGCTGCTCCTTTTGCGCCCCCCCCCCATCGGTGGCCCGGGGGGGCAAAAGGGGCAATGACGTTAAAGCGCTGCCGTGGCAAAGGACCCTGCTTAAAGTGTTGCCGCGGCAGCGCTTTAACGTCGACTGCTACGAGCCAGTACCGGCAGCCACTTTTTACCGGTAGGCCGTACCAGTCCATACCGGCTTACTTTCACCCGTTTATTTGATTAATTTCTGCTGGTGAAAGAGACAAGCTTTCGAGCTACACTGAGCTCTTCTTCAGGTCTGGGTTTTCTGTTGGACACAGGCATGTCTAGTCACCTGTCTGCTGATGTCTAAATCAAGCAGTGTAAGCTGACACAGTGGAAACCCACAGTCACAGAGTCAACAGGGGGATATGACAACAACAGGATAGCAAAACACAGGACAATAAGCCCCAGGGGTTATGCTGACTCGGGGTACAAACAGTGAACTCTGGGGAAGGCAAGGAAGACGCCCCTTTGTCCTGCACCTAGGAAGTAATTGGGCAGTGCGGTTACTTTCATGAAAACGGGATCACAGCCTTGCCTGAAATGCTGCGAAGGATGTTTGGGTGAGATATAAAGTCTTTAGATGGAAGGTTAGCCTGCTCAGTTTAGTCTCTAGGAATCATGTTATGATTTTATTTTATATGTAACCCTTTTGTTTCCATCATCCTTATTCATGATCTCTTGAATCTTGAGTAGTTTATCATCCTTATTTCCACTATAAATATATCTCAGTGCTGTGGTATTAGACCAGGAGCTGATCCGGAGCTGGTGTGAGCGCTGTTCCCGTGGGGACAGTAGAGCTGGTATTACTGTGGGTGTTCAGTGGAGAAGAGGCTGGATATCATAGGGGAAGCTTCGAAGGGGCCCGGGGACTGGGGTGCACCGATTGTTAACTTGTAAGGCAAAGTGAGGACTGGCCTAGCCCAGCGGAGATGGTTTTGGTGGCTAACAGGCTGGCGGTGTCAGGGGGCTATCACCCAGTTAAAGCACAAGCAAGGCTCCCTGTGGCTGGCAGCTAGAGGTGACTCAGTCCTGGGCGCCCCAAGAACGGTCACCCAGTGTTCCACAGGAGGTCAGACTAGATCAGGGGTTCTCAAACTGGGGGTTGGGACCCCTCAGGGGGTCACAAGGTTATTACATGGAGGGTCGCGAGCTGTCAGCCTCCGCCCTAAACCCTGCTTTGCCTCCTGCATTTATAATGGTGTTAAATATATTTAAAAGTGTTTTTAATTTATAAGGGGGGGGGTCGCACTCAGAGGCTTGCTATGTGAAAGGAGTCACCAGTAGACTAGATGTACCACCACTGGACTAGATGATCTAATAATCTCTTCTGGCTTTAAAGACTCAATCTCAGGTGGGGGTACAGGAACAGCATAGTGGGGTACTGTCAGAAATAGGGTGCAGAGTTGGGGAGGGCCCTGTGATGGGAATAGCAGGGGGTGCTGCAGGGCAGGATTGAGCATTGGGTGAGCGAGGCAGGGGGATCAGCCCCACTCCCATGTATGATGTCCCTCCCCCGAGCTCTCTACTGTTGGTCTCAAGTGCCTTTAGCTCTATGCTCCTCCCCCTCCCGGTGCCTGTGCAGTGCTGATCTGAAAGCAGAAGTTGGGAGGATCTCATGACCCGCTGCCTCCCCACAGGAAGTGCCAAGCACAGGTGCAGCCGTCAGGGTGGCAGGCAGGAGGCTCGGTGACTGTGACGAGGGCCCTTCCTTTCTCTCTGGGCGCTGGGGGAGTGGGTGGTGTTTTGGAGGATCTGAAACCCCTGGGCTGAAGGTAGCTCCCTCTCTGTGGCTGATCAGGTTGTGTTTTCCACCTGGGAAGGCTGCTGGGCTCTGCTTGTGCTTCTGGTGCCAGCTGGTGATCTGGCCAGCCCATTGTGGATACTCGTGGCAGCTGGTGGGAGAGCCTTCGGTGCTGCGGGGGCTGGGTCCATGTCATGCTGATTGCTGGCGCGTGGGCACAGCATCCCCAAAGCCCAGCTCCTGGCTGTTGGGTTTGACTGGCTCAGCACAGGTCTTCAGAGTGTGAGCGCTGCAGGGCAGGGACTCCTTGGGGAGGAGGGGGGAGAACAGGGCTCTTCTCTACTTGGGAACCTGGGATCCCTGCTGTCCTCCAGGGGAAGGGGAGTGAAGGCTGCAGGGTGGGCAGAGGCCTCTCTTGCCCTCTGAGCTCTGGCTGCAGAGGCTTGATTATCTAAGATCATCTCTGTCTCTGAGGACTTTCCCTGCCGGCTCCCAACCAGAAGGATCCGTTCTGGTTGGGCTCAGGGCAGTTGGCTGCTCCTCCCCGCCCACCTGCAGCTTATTACTTAAGGCTGCACTTAAAGCAGCTGTTGATCCGGTCTGATTAACTCTGGGGCTCCGCCTGCTCCTGGTTCTATAACCAGCCTTCCGAGACAGGAGGGCACTGGCTGACAGGAGTTGGCAGAGGCTGGTGGAGGTCGGAGGAAGGGCTGGCGGGCAAGGGGCTGCTGGAGAGGGAAGGAGGGAAAGTGAGTGGTGGAGCCCAGTGGAGAGGCAGGGCGAGGGGCTGCTGGAGCTGGGCGGAGGGGAGGGGCAGCTGGAGCCAGGTGGGGAGGGTGGGCGGGTGAGGAGCGGGTGAGGGGCGTCCGGAGCCCGGTGGAGGGCGGGTGGGCGAGGAGCAGACGGCGCCCGGTGGAGGGGAAGGAGGGAAGGCGGGCGGGTGAGGGGTGGCTGGAGCCCGGTGGAGGGCAGATGAGGGGTGGCTGGAGAGGAGGGAGGCCGGGCGAGTGGGTGAGGGGTGGACGGAGTCCGGCGGGTGAAGGGTGGCTGGAGAGGAGGGAGGCTGAGTGGGCGGGCGAGGGTGGCCAGAGCCCAGTGGAGGGAGGACAGGCGGGCGAGTGAGGGGCGGACGGAGCCCAGCGGAGGAGAGGGAGGAAGGGCGGGTGAGGGGTGGCAGGTCAGGGAGGGAGGGAGGGCGGGCGAGAGGTAGCAGAGCCTAATGGGCTGTGCAGGGTCTGGCGTGGGGGGCAGCGATTTGCTCAGAGTGCAGCAGGGCACAGGCTGGGCAGTACAATCAGCTGGCATGGTATTTCCCCCCTCAGGTGCAGTCCCTGCTGCTGGAGTGATGCCCACCTTCCAGTTCTTGCCCTTCTCGGCCCTGCTGGGCACCCTGGGGCTCCTGTGTGTGGTGTTCACAGGGTTCTGGTCCCAGCACTGGCGCGGAGGCTTTGCCTGGGATGGCTCCACCAAGATGTTTAACTGGCACCCGGTCTTCATGGTGACGGGCATGCTGGTGCTGTATGGGGCAGGTAAGTGGGTGCTGTCCCTGGGTGGCACGTCGGGGGCTGGGACGTGGATACAAGGGTTGCTCTGAGTGTGCCGGCCTCTCTCCCCTGCAGCGGTGCTGGTGTACCGGGTGCCCAGCTCCTGGGCGGGCCCCAAGCTCCCGTGGAAGCTGCTGCACGCGGCGCTGACCCTAGCAGCCTTTGTCCTGGTCGTGCTGGGGCTCGTCGCCGTCTTCGGGTTCCACAATGCCCAGGGCACCCCCAACATGTACTCGCTGCACAGCTGGCTGGGGCTGGCAGCTGTGCTGTTCTTCTCTTGCCAGGTGGGTGCCCAGCCTCCCCCTCTGATGCCCAGCTCTGCCCTGGCTCCCCCTCTTGCTGTTGGCTGCCTGTGCCATGGCTTGATCCACTCTGTGCTCCAAACTCTTTTCTGTTCCCCCATCCTAGTGGCTCATGGGGTTCGCTGCCTTCCTGTTACCCTGGTCCCCTGCCTGGCTGCGGATCATCTACAAGCCCATTCACGTCTTCTTCGGCTCCATCATCCTCGCGCTGGCCATGGCAGCATCCATCTCCGGCATCAATGAGAAGCTCTTCTTCAGCCTGTGAGTGCCAGAGCTGGTGTGGGGTGTGTGGGCCTCCATTTGGCCGAGGGCTTCCCCCACCACTCCTAAGAGCTGGGCCAAACCAGGGTCCATCTTGCCCAGTGTCTTGTCTCTGACAGTGGCCCATACCAGAGCTTCGGGGGAGTGCACAGAACAACGCAGTGACCCACCCCTGTCTTCCACTCTTGGCTTATGTTAGTCAGAGCTCTGGAGTCACCCCAAGCATGGGTAGGGTGACCTCCCCCTACCACACATACACACTGTGTGACTGAGAGATGCCAGCAAGTGGCTGAATGGTGACAGTCCCAGAAGGGAAGATCTAAGGGCTGCGCAGGCTTGGTGCAGAGAGGATGACTAAGGGGAGACTTGGGAAGCATCCCCAGCTCTAGGTAGCTGTTCAAGAGGCTGGGGAGCTGGGTGGGAGTGGGTTGTGAAGATGACTGGGCAAGGTGCCCAGGGAAGGGCTACAACCTCCTGCCCTGGAGATGGGTTGAGGCATGGCTGGATCTCACAGGGCCCAATGGATGCTCCAGGAAGTGGGAGAGGCCCCTCCCCACCCATCTGATGGGGTGCTGGCAGGGTTTCCCCCTCCAGGGGCTCTCCAGAGGGAGCTGGGATTGTAAGGGGCGAGGGTGCTTGCACTGGTGCTGGCTCCGAATGAAGGTGGTGGCTCCATCTCTTCTCTCTCAGGACGAACAAGACGGTTCCCTACGCTAAACTCCCCCCTGAGGCCTGGTTCGCCAATTCTCTGGGGATGCTGATCTTGGTCTTTGGGTTGCTGGTGCTGTGGGCTCTTGCCATGCCGGCCTGGAAGCGCCCAGAGTCAGAGTCACTGGAGGCCCGACAGGTACCAAGTCCGCGTTGCTGGTGGCCCAGGACATGGGAACTGTGGAGGAGTAGCAGCGTGGGCAGGAGGGGATGTCGTGGGGTTGGGGATCGGGGAGGAGTTGGGCATGTGGAGTGTTGCAGTTAGGCCAGGTTTAGGGCGGATGTGGGAGGGGAAGAGTGGGTGCAATGTTCCCTCTAATATTTTACATCCATGTGCGGAATTACCTTTATGTGCATCAATATGGAGGTGATGTGTGGCGGGGGTAGGGCTGAGGGGTTTGGCGTGTGGGGAGGAGTGGTAGGGGAAGGGTGGGAGATGAGATTGGAAACATGGGCAAGAAATAACGAGTCAACTCGCCGCTGATCTGCCTGGGAAGACACCTGCTTACGTGACGAGCCAGGAAACCGGCGGCTCAGCCAGTGGGGCAGATGGGGGCAGCAGTCAGACAGGAATGTCCAGTACAGGCTGGTGGCACCGAAGGCCAGGGCGGTTTTGGAGCCACCCTGGTGGAGCAGCAATATGTGGTGCTGGAAGCGACTCAGTGCTGGGAGAGGTGGGTGCCTTGCTCATGGCCTCTTTCTCCGCAGCCCCTGCTCCATTAGGACAAGTGAAGCAGCCGCCTGGAGGAGGAGCCGCTGCCCAGACTCTCCGGTGAGAAGGGCAGCTTGATGCTCCTGCAGTTGGCGCTGAGTCATCTCCGGAGCCTGGCCAGCACGGGGCCAAGGGGTGGAGGTGCTCTCCATGCTCCCTCACCACCCGGCTGCTCTCCCGGATCCCTGGCTCTTGCCACTCCCCTGCCTTCTGCTCTGGGTTCCTGCACGTGCTGCTTCTTCCTGGGATTCACCAAGCAGCCTTGGCCCCTCTTGCCATTGTGCTGCTGTGCCTTAGGGGCCCTGGCTGACGCTACGACCTAGATCAAGTACCCTGAACTAAAATAAAATCCTGCTTTGTGGCGCTTGCCCTGGCGTCGGCTCTGCAGGAGGCGGGGCCCGGTTGTGTGTAAGGAGCCTGTGCTGGCCGCTCAGCTGTAGCAGTGTGCATGCACCTGGGGCATCAGCGTGCCAAGCTCCAGCCAGCTTCCCTTTCCCACTGCCTGCTTAGCACCCACTTCTGCTCTCTGGCGCTGTCCCCTGCTACCTTGGGAGAGTCTCTGCTAGGGCTCAGAGCTAGGGTGACCAGATGTCCTGATTTTATAGGGACAGTCCCGATTTTGGGGTCTTTTTCTTATATAGGTTCCTATTACCCCCCACTCCCTGCCCTGATTTTTCACACTTGCTGTCTGGTCACCCTACTCAGAGCATTTGCTCTCCATGGGGTTTGCTTCCAGCCCTGGTCATACTCCCTCTCCCTTGTCCCAGCTCTTTGAGTGGAGGAAGCAGTCACATTTCCTCCTGCCAGGAGAGGGCTGCAGAGCAGGAAGCTGTTGTCCATGCATCGCTGTGATGTGCAGGTGGGCTGGGGAGTCCGGCTGCAGTGCCTGACTGCCCTGGGGATGCGAAGGTGGGAGGAGCTGTCCGGGGCCATGCTGTTCACTCCTCTGACCAGGATCCACAGATAAACTCTGTACTGAGCTTCTCTGACTAGTAGAACAGCTCAAGCTCAGAATCCACTCACCTGCAGCTCTCCATTTGGATCTAGGCTGTATTGCCGTCTCTGGTGCTCTATCACAGCTCCACCCTGCACAGTCCTACACCAGGCTCCGGTCTGCCTTTCCTACCTCACCTGGGGTGTCTGGCTCTGGCCTCAGCAGCGCTGAGCCCCGAAAGCCACCCCAGCAAGAATTTCCAAGTGCTTGGGCCTGGAGGCTCTCTAGTGCCTGGCCAATTCACAGTCTTCATGGCTGGCCTCTCCCAGGTCCCGGCTCAGCGCGAGCAGGCACCGTGAGCTGTATCTCCTTCCAGTGCCTACGTGCTACCATTGGCATGACGTAATTTGGGGGCTGTACAACAGACACTCACTGCTCTGGTGCCTGACCCAGCCAGCACTAATGAAAATGGACTCATAGCTTACGCATCCTTTGGTGGCATCTGCCACGAGCTGCTCAGAAGCTTTGAGACAAGATCCTGTCCATTCTGGGCACTAGATCTGCCGGGGTGGTGTGGGGTCCCCATGAAGCAGATACTTCACTCTGGTTTAAGGATTCATGTACAGGATTAGGGCTAAATTGTTCGCCAGGTATTAATCCCTCCCATCCCCACATGGTGTAACAGATAAGGACATGGTGGGAAGGGTTCAGACCCCCCAGAGAAGGGCAGACAGGGAGTATGGTTGACTCAATGGGGAATATTTCCCCATGACTGATTGCAGGGGCGTGGGACGGATGGCCCTTCCTATCCTCTATGGCTGTGAGTTCTGCTTCTCTGGGTGTGTGCTATTGCGGTAAGTTGGGAGTGAGCCCACGTGGCTCAAGCTGAGATCTTAGGAAGACACTGGAGGCTTCCTTAGAAGTGTTTCCAGAGAGAGGCAATTAAATGTATTTGTTGTATGTGAGAAGCTGACCAGCCCAGGGGGTTTGATAGCATCCACACAGAGGCTCAGTACATGCTACTGGAGAGGTGGAATGCAGCGACAGCTGGTTGGAATTTGAGTTTTCTGTCCCCTGGGAAATTCTCAGACTTCCAAATCTCTGGCTTTGTTCTGAGCTGGGATGATAAATCGGTGGCGGGACTCCATGTGACACACAGCACGGTGAGGATTTCAGTTTGATGGTCTCAACACCTTTTGTTTCAATGGAGCAATGCTTCAGTTTGGCTTGTTACCTAGAAGTGAAATGTTTGACAGGGATGATTTCCCGCAAATGTTCAGCTAACTCCAGGCATTCCCCAAAATGCACTGCCTGCTGTCAATCAGCTCTTTCTGATGGAAAACTGTTTGTGGAAAATGTCCAACCAGCTCTGTAGACAACCTTGAAAAATCAGGTGGCCCTAGGCTGAAGGGGAAAAAAGAGGCCAAAGCAGACAGTGGGAGCAATTGGAGCAGCTGCCCCTGTACCCAGGAGAGGCAGGGTGCAATCCAGCATCATCCCATTGAGTACTGGGGCTTACGGGAATGAATTAGAGTGACTGTTGCAAAGAGAGCTCATGGGGTGTAGCCTGGACATCTACCTAATTCCAGGGAAAGGAGCTGGCTGCTGAGTCCTTGCTAAGAATTCATGACTTAAAGCTCCAAACTGGGAAGTGTATTCCAGCCCACTGTGTGTGTGTGTGTGTCTCTCTCTCTCATAAGCTTGGCTGAAGTGTGTGGCTTCCCCCGGGCTTTGTCTCCTATCTCTAGCATTAGCCATGTTAATATCCGGGGTACTTCTGATGTCTTGCTGGGAAACCGTACACCTGAATAGGCTATTCTGAAACGCCGGGGCCTCAGTGGTGGTACTACCCTTTGTTTAATAAATAGCACTGTTTTGGAATTGGAGTCAAGGGGGTGTCTTCTTGGGGGAGGAACTTGGGGGAGGGGTGGAAACTGAGCCTCCTAAAAACCAGCTGTTGCTCAATATGCTTAGTGCTGGGAGTAACTGGCTGGAGCTGAGCAAAGGCAAGAGGGAGGTTGGCCTTTCAGATACATTTCCCCTCAGCGGGCTCTAACAGTCTGGGAGCAAGGCCACCCTTATCGATCCGGCTCCTCAGAGCAAGGCAGGACAAAGAGCCTAGTGGTGCAGGCTGCTGGGGTGAAGATACTCCTTTTAACCATTCAGCTCCATGAACTGGCTGGTGCCGGCAGGGTGCTCTGATCTGTTGGCTTGATGAATTCGCCCTCTGCCTCAAATGCCCTGCGCTCAGCTGCAAACCCTGCTCCAGGAGAGAGGAAGGGGTGTGTGTGTACCCAGAGCTGGATTTCCTCATTGCTCTAATTCTAGCACATTGGTTGCTCACTTTCCCCTGTGCTGGTTACCTGGGCTCATGTCTCAAACCCCTCCCACCCCCAGCAATGCTGCCATGTCATGGCTTAGCTGGAGCTATGGATTGTGCCGGCAGCTGGAAGAGCTGCTTCTGGCAGGTAACAGCTAGTGCCACAGTCTCCCTTCTGTGCTGATCCAGGAAAAGGATAATCTCCCTGCCACTCCTAGGTCCCTTTCAACCTGTTCCTGGACTCTGCTCAGCTCCGGCCCTTCCCCCAGCTGGTGCAGTGTTTGCCTGTGGCAACATCCAGCTGGTCCCTCCATGTGCTGGGACCGTGCTGGTCCATGCTCCAGGAAGCAGACCTTGCCTGGTTGGATTCATGACCATGCACACCACGTGCTGGCAGTGCCTCGCCCTGTTTCATAATCCCATAGCAGCCTGCAAATCTTGCCGGCTGGATGGGGTGGAGTGGGGATGGCCCTTGGCCTGGGGCAATCCTCCTGCAGTGCTATGTGACCTGTGCAGCTGGGCTGGTGCCAGCTCCTGCTCTCCCAGGGCACATGGGCTGAGTGAGTTTCTCCAGTGGCAGCTTTCAGGGTGGTACATTGGGCTGGAATAACCAGCTCAGGATCTGCTGGAGGAGACCTCTGCCTGGCTTCAGCACTTCTTCCCCCCGACCCTTGATTCAAATGACAGTGAGATAGGGAAGCCCCCTGCTCCAGGCCCTTTATCTCAGGGGGCTGGACCCTTAAATGAAGCAAGTCTAATGTCCCTAAAGACCAAACAGGTGCTGCCTGCTGAGGGATGGAGTGACACCTGCTCAGGACTATACCTAGGGGGAAAAGGGGAGCCCAGGGAGAGCTTGAAGAGAGCCTGGGGAAAGGCTCTACCCAGAGGAAAAAGGGCCTGCTAGCCCCTCCGCACAAAGCTAGGCCCTGCAGGGCAGAACTAAACCATACCGAGCTGTGAGGAGCAGCATGATCCCTTCAGCAAGGTAGGGCTGGGGAGGGCAGAGGCATGGAGTTAAAGTAACCATAAGCCCTAAGAGAGGGCAGGTAATGACTCTCTTTGAGGAAGTACAAAGCCTGAAACACCTGGTGTAACAGGCTAGGGCTGAGGAATAAATAAAACCCCAGCAAAGGAGCTATGTAGCATAAAATATCTGCATAGTAGCCCTGAAGGGCTGACAGAGGGTGTAGTCATGGTGGGGAGCAATGAGCCCCCCCGTCACCTGCCCCTGCCAGGGCAAGACTGACCCTGGGTGCTCCTCTGCAGGGGCTAAACTCAGCTAGTGTAGGGAGTTGGCCTCCATAGCCCACTGGATCTCACTACGAAGCTGAGCCATGGCCGCATTCTGCTCTTTCATCCCAGTGCTTCCCACTCACAGCCCCTGCCCCCTCCTCTCTACCCAGCCCCAGCATATGCAGAGACCACCCCCCCCATACCTTGCCCCCTTCCACATCCCTTCCCCTCCCCAGACCTGCTGAGTTGCTGCTCTGAGAATTCATAGCCCTGACATTCTAGGGGAGCTCCCTCAAGCACAGGCAGTGCTGAGCAAACATACCAGGGGAGCCTGGCTCTCCCCGCACAGGAAGGGGGAATCAAAGAGTGGGGCAGGGTCCCCAGCCCAGGAGCAGCCTGCAAGCACATAGAGAGGAGACCCCTGCTAGGAGGAGGTGGAGAACACAGAGGAAGAAAGATCCCTCCTCAGTACTACCCAGCCTGAAAGCTGCATGGGGAGACCCCAGCCAGGAGAGCAGGAAGAGCTCGAGCCCATTCACCATCAGGCGGCAGGAGCCGGTGTTGTGCTTACAGTGAAGTAGCCATTACAGCTGCTGGAGCATGTGTGTGTGGGGCCCCAGCAGCCCTTAGCCAAGCTCAGACAGATATAGATTTTTCCATGTGCCACCCCCTTCCTCCCATCTGTCACCAGCTTCCTGGTAACAAGGGGCCCGGGGCGCTCTATTCAGGGTCTTGCCACAGCTCAGCTATGGCTCTCTGTGCCAGGGTAGGGGAGGCAGATGAGCACAGCCCCCCCACCAATGGCTTTCCTGGCTCCTATGCTCCACTGGAAACTCTGTTGCTCAGTTCAGTGGTTGCCCTGTCCTCTCTTGCTGTAGCACAGGGCCCTGGTAACTGGGCACACCCAGGTGCACTGTATGAGGAGGCATGGGCCAGGGCTGAAACCTCAGCTCTGGAGCTCGGAGCTAGTGCCAGCTTTGCATTGACTCACCGTATGACTGTCAGCGCTGGGTGCCTCAGTTTCCCCCTCCATGCAATAGAGAATCTGGACATTACCTACTCCACTTCCTGGGATGGGGACAATTCATTCACCCACAGCTG